GGGATGATCTGTTGCGATGTTCTCGATTGTATCATACCCGCCTCTCGCCGTCCCCCTCCGAAGCCTCGTAGCCACATCTCCCTCCCAATTCTCTTTTGTCCGCAGCTTGTTTTTTTGCCCTGTGGAAAACTGTGTTCTCCAAGCGCGGTTGGGGCAGCGCTTTTTGTTCTTGGCCCACGATGGCGTGTTGTTGTTGAGCGAAAGAAAGGGGGTCTGATTGTTTCTCCATGCTCACGAGCAACTCACCATACACGTATGTCAAGCAGCGGGCTCTTGCCCACCAATTTGAGAGACACGAGACATCCAACGAGGAGCACGAGCGCACCGAAGACGAGCCCGCTTCTCGTCAGCTCTTGCCCCACAACTGTGCTTCTTTCCTTTAAGGGGAACAGTAGAGGTCCCTGTTTGGTGCCGGTGTGCCCCCAGAAAATTCACCGGCATCATAGCGAACACCAACACTATTCAAAGTACACAATTGCTTGGTAATTCAGCGTGTGTGTGCCCACCGAAACACGGGCACTATAAATACCGACATTCACTCGGCATTAAACAGGGACCTGTGTCTCTGTTGCTGCTTTTTTTATCTTCCACCGTGCAAAAGGTATGAGGGCCGAGGAGCCATCCTTGCCGACGAGATGGGCCTCGGCAAGACGGCCACGGCGATCGCGCTGTGCATGTGCGTGCTCCGCCACCGCAGGGCGGAGTGCCCGAAGGCGGTCGTCGTCTGCCCTTCCTCGCTCGTCAGGAACTGGGCGAACGAGGTGCAGTCGCGTGGTCCCGGTATACCGTACCGCGGTGTGTAGTGACAGGAATAAAATCCCCGCGGTATATCGGGACACTGCACTATTGATGTGTGTTGGGGAACATGTAGCTTTTAGCGTGGCAGCCAAATCCCGCGAACATGTGATTTTTACCGCGGTGTTTCGGGACCCCGCAACCCGCGGTACCGCGGTACAGTATGTCGGGACCACCACTGTGTGCTGCGGAGAGAGATACAGGATTTTGGTCATCGCGGTGGACGTAAGCGTGCTCCCCCAACGATTGGTTGCCTGCCGCACCCTTGTCTGGAGCTCTGGAGCGCAACAACGACCTCTTGCTGGCAGTTCCGTTTGGAAACAGACGAACAGCGGCAATCTCTTAGAGCCGAACAACGGTACCAAGTCCACGACATTGTAGTCATGCATGTGGTCTCAACTTTTTTTGTTTGTTTGTCGGACAGAAACGGTTTGCGCTCCAACGGGTCCTTAAACCAATCCGAACACGCGGCGGCTACGCGTATTCCCCCACCCCCACCCGCACTGTGGCCAATGGTCTAACCTCTAAGGCATGCAAAACATGCCCCCCCCCCCCCCCNGACGTTGTAAAACAAGCCGATAACTTCGTGATCTCGACAATCATAATGGTGGCCGAGAAGATTTTGTTGTCGAGATCGAGAACCCTCCCTTCACGCAAAGGGGATGATCACCCCACGTTATGTTTAATTGGTCAAACACCCTCGAGGCAGTTACACAAAGCTTATAAATGTCCGTGGAAGTGAAAGCACCAGAAACAACTTAACTCATACGCAGCTGCCATCCGTATGAAAGCAAGTAGGCACAAGATGCCGAACACCCTTTGCAGGGTGCGGCGCACCCTCCATGCGATTCGCCGATTACCTCACGGCACTTCGCGCTTGGTGATGTGAGAGCCCGGTCCGGTGAGAACCCGGCGTGTTCCGCCCCGGCTTTGTAGGGATGCGAGGTCAATGGTCCAACGACTACGGCATGCTCGACTATGAGTACACCCCCCCCCCCCNTCCATGAGCGTCGTGTTTACGCCCCCCAATCGATCTCGATCGACCTGACCCGACCTGGCATCGCCTATCCCGGCCGTCTTTGTAAATGTAATCAATGTATTTGTTCGCCCGCCGTGCTCGTGCTCGTGCTCGTGAACGCGACGTGGGTACTGGCAGTTTCGGAAGTGGTGCCCGCTAGGCGGGGGCGCCGTTGCTGTCGACCAGGCCGGGGCCGCGGCGGCGCAGCTCGTGTCGGACTTCAAGATCGGCGCGGCGGCCCGCTACCCTATCCTCGTCATCAGCTATGAGCTCTACAGGTGAGGAGAGTACTGAATGAGGCTCGGCCGATGGTGTGGGGCAAAAAGGAACTACGGTACCTTTGCTGCTGTTGAGTCGCCTCCGGAAGATTGTGTTGTTGCTGTTGTTGTTGTTGTTGTTGTTGCTGTTGTTGTTGGCGCTAAGCTCTGTAGTTCTTGCGTATTTCACGGTGGAAGCTTGTGTTTTGGGGTTGGTGGTCTAGTTGTTGCTATATGTGGTACTAGTGTACGCAGGGTGAAACGTCGTGCTTTCGGGGTGAGAGTCTGCTGCCCGCCGAACAACGTGGCCGAATCCCGTTTGAGGCACGAAGACAGGTCGTTGTCGAGTCAAAGATTAAGATGCTGCTCCAGAAAGACCCACAGCACTTAATTTTGCCATGTATGTATTTATTATGGAAAGCCGCTACACCATGCCGTACCGGATGCATCACACTGTACCGGGTACATGACACCGTACGGGATACATCATTCCGTATACCTTTTTCCGTGTCGGAATACATCATTCCGTACAGGATACATGATTCCGTATCGGATACATGATCCCGTACCGGATACATCGCACCGTGCCGGATTCGGATTCAAGCGCGAGGGTCAACAGGAGAAAAGTCGTGCCTACGCTCGGATGTCACCTGCTGTCGGGTTTCAGCCAAGCATCGACCGCACCGGCCGGTAGTGGTGTACCACTTGATTTTTCTTAACTCTCCAGAGGGCGTTTTTTCCTTTTCCTTTGTTGCGGCCGGGGCTCCGCAGGAATCACGGCAAGGTCATCAACGCCACGGAGGGCCTGGGGCTCCTCATCGCGGACGAAGGGCACCGCCTGAAGAACGCCGCGGAGACCAAGACGACGAGAGCACTAAAGGCCTGCCCGGCTGTGATGCGCCTGGTTCTGGTGAGCTTTTGGGTTGGGATTGGTCCTGGTGTGTTATTTGTGGTGGTCGTCGTCGTTACTGTTGTTGTTGTTGTTGTTGTTGTTGTTGTTGTTGTTGTTGTTGTTGTTGTTATTGTTGTTGCGATGGTTGTTCCGGTGAAAATGGGTCGCAGAGACACCGAAGAGACGCAATGCCTGATGGCACTCGTTGGGACCTACCGCTCAGCTCGTGAAAGGTTCCCCCCCCAACCCTGAATCGACACCCCTCGAAGCTGCATGCCCTCACGCACCTCTAGTTTTGTCGTGCAAGCCAACCGGTTCGTCATTCTCCGATACCCGACGCTACTGCCTGTTGCCTCTGTTCGCTTGTAGTACCACTCTGGGCAGATTGTTACAAGCTCAGTGATTCGCTCAGGCCCGGTCCGTCCGTTATTTTTTTTTTCACGACCTTATTTAATGCTTGTCGTCGTAAATACCGTCTCATAGACGGGCACTCCCATGCAGAACGATCTCGACGAATTCTTCGCGGTGGCGGACTTCGTCAATCCCGGCCTACTGGGCAGCCTCAAGAGCTTCCGATCCAGGTGCTGCTAAATAAAGCATTGTATTACGCGATGCGGGCTTTCTCGAAATAGCCCAACGCGGCTACGTGTTTCCTGCCCATCGTTGTAGCGGACGGAACCTCCTGTGACATCCACCAATGACAACAGGAGCAGCGTCCAAGGCATGTGCTTCTGTCGTGGTTAACTGTTCCCCTTTTTCCCGAAATGGCGAGAAGACATCGCAAAAGTCGAAAAGGCAGGTGGAAAGTAGAGCCGCCGTGTCCGCCTAAAATAGGAGCAGACATGAGAGCAACAGACACGCACACGATGTGCCGTCCGTTCCGTTCCGTTCCGTCCCGTTCGTTTTCATTCCGTTCGGTTTCGTATCCTTTCGTTCCACTCCGTTTTATCCGTCTGCTCTGCTCCGTTTTGAGTCGGTTTTGGTTCGGTTCGTTCCGTTTTCCGTTTACCGTACACAACCAACGCCTACCTCACCGCCGGCGACGCTCCTACGACTACCACCCACCCACCGCAGGTACACCCGCCCGATCAAGGCCGCTTGGGACCGCGATGCCAACGAGGATGCTGCGGAGCTGTCGACCGAGAGAACACGCGAACTCGGAGAGGTACGAGATGGCTTTGATTGGTTTATATAGAAAAGGTGTCGTGCGTGCGCTATGTACACGATAAGCTGATGCGGCGACGGCGTCCGGGGCAGACGAAACGGGAGCAATTTGCGATGTTTATTCCGGTAGAGCGAACGGACGGGTCTTGATGGATTGTTTTTTGTTTTGCCAAGGTTATGTTTCGTTTTGCCTCAAGACTCCGCTCCGTCGGCGATGGCTATGACGCACTGCTATGCATGCTGGTATTTTGTTTAAGAGTAGACGTCGGACTTTGATGTTACGCAAGCTGCGGCTCTAACGTGGTGTGTGTGATGTGCCATGCGTATGTTATGACGCTGCGACGGCGTCTCGGAACCGTCAATAACTGGGTGGTACTGCACTCAGAGTCAACCACCGTACGCTGTGTACGAAGTGTGCGTGTTCGTGACTTTTGGTCTTTTTGTCTTAGGATGATCGTCTGGGGGGTAGCGGCTCTTCTGCTGGCTCCCTTGGGGCGGGAGAGAAACGGGTTTTGAAAATATAGTGCGAGGGTTGTTGCACCCAAGCTGCACGATTTCTGTTGGGCGGCGTGTATATAGCACGGACATAGGTCTCGCTACTGCTAAACGTCCGTCGGGCCGAGGGCGGGGGGTGCGACGCGACTTCTTATTTTCGGGGTCAGCCGACCACCAGGGAGAGCCCAGCCCCTTCCAGTTCGCAAGAGGCCGCCGTTCTATGTACCGCTGCTGCCGACACACCCCCCCTCCCCCCCGAAGCCCCACGCTCTTTCACCGACCCCGTTGACGTACACGCACAAACGCCATAATAACACGCGTACATTCACGTGCCTTTTTTCGTTTTCTTTCTCCCGCGAGAGAAGATGACGGAGAAGTTCGTTCTCCGGAGAACCAAGGACGTCATCCGGGGGTCCCTCCCCGCGGCCCTGGAGGTGGTGGTCTTCTGCCGCCCGTCCACGCGGCAGCTGTCCCTCTACCAGAGCTGCATCGCGGGGTCGGCGGGCGCGAGGTCCCTCCTGTACGGCGACGGCGGCGACGCGGATAGTGATGATGCAGAGAGGGGGGGCTCGGGCGGGGGACACGAGGAGGAGGAGGAGGAGGAGGGTGGTGGTGTTGGCATGAAGCGGCAGCAGCAACGTCGTCGCCCGATTGGCCTCCAGGGAGTCCTGCCGCTCATCTCCAAGCTGCGCAGGCTGTGCAACCACCCAGACCTCGTGGAGGAGGACACCAGCGCCGCTGGCGAACTGTCCGACGAGGGAGAAGAGCGGCAAGGCGGCGGCTCGGGCTCCGGCAAGGAGAATAGCAACACCCCAGAAGAACATAGCACCGCCGGTCGGGCAGGCGCCAAAGGCGCGTGGAAGGTGCCTCGTGCAAGCGAGGCAGCGGCGGCGGCGGCGGTGAGAGGCGGTGCCAAGGGGCCGGGCAAGGCTTTCGCATCGACAGCGGCGGCGGCGGCGGCGGAGGCGGCGGCGTTACCGTTGTACGAGACGGAGGCCTCAGGAAAGGTGACGGTGCTGGAGGCGTTGCTGAAGGCCGTCCGGCGAGAGTACCCCGGAGACAAGGTGTGTGACCGTGCCGTACGTCCTTTGGTGTACAAGAGCTGGGACATCTCGCATGCCTAGGACTCGCGATGACGTGTGTTCTAGGTCGTCGTACCGGCGCACAAGACTTTGGGCTCAACCCCTCACGCTCGCCACATCTGTGACGACACTGCTGTATCGAAGAAGAGGTACGCAAAAGTTCCGTCGTAGTAGATACTTCCGTCAGAGGACTCTCCGTGTGGCACGGTGCCGAACAGCTTTGGGGCGGCGACAGGGGTACGCATCGTTGGTCTGGTTGATTGCTTGGCCGAAAAAGTGTGCGGTAGTTCGTGCAAGACTTTCTTGCTCCTGGGAGCGAGGTGTTTGGTGGGCACCTTCGACCTCTCTTGCGGTACGCTAGGACGAGACGGGATGTGAGCGGGCAGCCACGGGTCGACGTGGATACGATTTCGTGTCGCCTTCTTTGCAACCGAAAAGCATCGCGGTCCGCCAGGGGAACAACGACCACGCTGCGGGTGGCGGAGGCTGAGTCGAAGCGCACGCTGACATACGCACCGCACCTTTCTACCTTGCGGCTGCCTCCCCTCTTCTCAGCTCTCAAGCTAGAGTGTAGTTATACACTCCTTCCGCCCATGTCGACAGTTTTCTTCCGCCGTTGGCTACCTTTTCTTGGCCCCCCTCTATCTCCGCCAACCACAACCTCGACCGCCTCATGCAAAGTTTGCCAAACAAAGGGAAATACACAACACACAAACTCCTGCCAACACGCAGGTCGTCGTCGCCTCCAACTTCACGTCCGCGTTGGACGTCCTCGAGACGCTGGCGGAGCGAAACTCCTGGGGTTTCCTCAGGTTGGACGGCGGCACGACGACTAACGAGCGGCAGAACCTCGTCGACCGTTTCAACCGCGCCTCGCCGGAAGACTTGTTCCTGTTTTTTCTCTCTGCGAAGGCGGGTGGCGTAGGGCTCAACCTGTGAGTGTGTGCGCCGTGCCCATGTCGGTGTCCGTTTCGCTGCGGGTGGCAGTTGTAGTGACGACCGGTAAAGCTCCGCTAATGAGGAGGGGGCAAGGTGGGGGGGGGGCTGTAGTGATGAGATGGGGACAGATGTTGAGGCTGTCGATGTTCGTGGGCTCTCCGTTTGTGTTGGTTTGTTCTAACTCTCACCCCTCTCGTTCATGTTTTCAATTGGGCGTTTTCGATCGGTGTGTGCATATGAACCACGGCTGTGCCAACGGGGCGCACGCCACGGCTGCAACGTAAATGTTGCTAGCAAGTCTCCCGAGCCCTCCTCGCAAGCCTGCGTGTACATGTTTTCACTGGAGGGGCTCGCCCTAAATCTACAACATGCTGTCGATATACGGTATGCAAGACCGGGATGCCACGAATGCGTTTACACCAACCGCCAGCAGGAAACCCTCCCCACCGGCTACGATACCACCGACAACCGGCTCGCTCCTTACAATGCTGACCTTTCCCCCCCCGAACTGCTTTCTTGGAACATCGGCCGGGTTCCCAGGGTTGGAGCGAACCGTATCGTTTTGTTCGATTCGGACTGGAATCCAGCCACCGACGATCAGGTGACAACACAAACCAGCCAACAGGAGTAGAGACATTGCAGCACCCCTCGCTTCTGTCATGGTCCATGTTGCTGTTGATGGGGCTGCGTGACCCTCGATGGGCATACCACACTATGCACCCTCACCAGCGTACTTCGGGGTGTTCATCAACGTTCGTCGGATCTGGCGCACCACACGCTGTTCCGGTTTCTGGGCGCAGGAAACGTTCTCGGGCTGGGGCTGGCTGTCGAGAGAGACACGGAGCCCGCTTCAAATACTGTTTCGCCTTGGTTGTAGACTAGGTCCTTTGCTGCTGTATTTTGGTCCTGTTTGGGGTGATTCTCAGCCATGCCGATTGTCCTCAGATACTCAGCGTACATACCACGAAGGGATGCCCCCGCCCCTCCCGAACACCGCATGAGTACCCCCCCCCCCCCCCCCCCCCCCCCCCCCCCCCNGGCGGGCGCAAAAAACAATGAGAAGCCCTTCTCGCCTCGCCCGAACTACTACTACCCACCCCGGACTCCCCGCAGGCGATGGCTCGAGTGTGGCGGCTGGGCCAGACGAAGGAGGTGTGCATGTACAGGCTGCTGTCCACGGGGACCTTGGAGGAGAGCATATTCCAGCGCCAGATCTTCAAGGGGGCCCTCTACGACCTCATCCACGACTCCAACGACGATCCCTCGAAGGAAAGCGGCGGCAGCGGGGGTGGTGTTGGCAGACAGCGGCGAGGGGGCGGCGATGATGGCACCGCGGCGGCGGCGGCGGCGGGCAAAGAAGGGGGCGGGAAAAGCGGCCGGGGTTTCAGCCAGGAGGAGCTCAAGGAGCTGTTTGTTCTCAAGGCGGAGACCAGGAGCGATACCTACGACAAGCTCCGGCGGGGGCGGGCGGCGGCTACCCCTAGGGCAGCGGGGGCGGCGGGTGTGCGGGAGGGGGGCCGGTACCAGGAAGTTACGCTCGAACGAGAGGTGGGAGCGAGAGGAGACGGGGAAGAAGATGGTTGGCAAGGACCGACCGCCGCCGCCGCTCCGGTGGTCGACGTCGAAGAACAAGCGTGGGAAGACTACGTGGGGCCGTCGGCAGTGGTGGACAAGGCTCTGCGGCTGGCGCTCCTGGAAGAAGCGACTGGGACACCATCACAGGTGGGCGGCAGCGGCGGCGGCGGCGGCGGCGGCGTGGGCGGGGTTGTGACTTTTGTGAGGGAGGTAAAGAGGGGCGGGAGGCCAGAGCAGCAGCGGGGTGGTGGTGGTGTCGGGACGGGAGGCGCTTCTCACAGCCAGTTCGCGGCGTTCGAAGGCGCGACAGGAAACGGCTGCGGCATGGAGGGCAACGAGGCGTAGGTGACATCAGCACGACCTCAAGAGCTCAACGGTGAAGGCTGCCAGCAAGTGGCGGGCGCTGTCGACCTGCTGCGCTTGGCTTAGAACTGAAAAAACGGGGTGGCGTTGTTGGGGAGGCGTGGTCCTGTCGCAGGTTTGTCAGGAGGACGAACGAAATGCGCGGAATCAACTGCACAGTTTTTTCCAGCTCGGTTCGCAAAATTGAGTGAGTTTACATAAGGTTTTTCAACCTCCACCCGGAGTAGGGATCTTCGTCGACGTGGATAGCGCACAACAAAGAGAAGCGCATAGCAAAGAGGAGAACGGAGCTGAATCCCACGTGCGGGAGTCATTGTCATATGTCCACGCTCTCGCATCACAACCAAACCGGGCAAGTACTCCCTCAACCGCCCCCCTCCCGGCCAACATACTGTAGTTACCGTCGACGAAGGCGCTTTGGAGTCCTATGGCGTAGCCAAGAGCTTCAAAAACATACGGAGGTCACTGGAGAATGGATGTTGCGAGACATTCTACTGCTGCTGTAAGAACGGCGTTGGTTGTGGATTGCACGCCATCCTCTTTTTCCAGTATCCGAAAAGTCCGTAGTCTGTGTCCCAATAATGTACCAGGGTCGACCAGTGGGTAGCCCCACTCAACAACAGATGCGCTACACAAAGCAACAATCTTACCGACATGCGCGCGTATGCATATCTCAACGTGTTTCGTTCAATTGGAACATCTTCATATGGAGGCAAGCTATACAAGCAGTAGTCTAGGCGTACCACCAGGTGCACGGGCACTAACTAGTCTCTGATGTAACGCAAGGCAAGTTGATGGCGTAACTGTATCGGTACTGTGATGGTACATATTTGCCAACGTCCAATAACGGTATGCTGCTGCATATGGTAGGTAGTCTAGACAGTACCAGCCATATCCATTTCTCGGACAACGGAGGTTCGTGGATCTGGTTGGCGGCGTCAGCTGGACCTTTCTTTGCGTAGTTCCGCAGATTGTTACACGGTAGACATGAAGAGTCAACGGCCGGGGCGCGTGAGCCCCACCTCTCTTGCCACTCTCCCACCACTTCAGCGAGGCCCAAAACCAATCAAAGTGAGTGAAATTCACGTCTTGTTCCTCTACGACAGGCGGGCCTGCCCCACATCGCAATCACAAACGTGTAAACTCACCCCCCACAGCGTGCGTTTTCCTCCACATGTGAGCAACACCAAGACTACCTAGATAGATGATGGACATTAAAGCCTTCCGTATTGAAGCGAACCCCAAGTTGGCTGTAAAGCAGCTGGTGGTCTAGAGTAGACCAAGCTGCGAGCTTTTCTTGTAATGCTCTGCGTCCTCTGCTGTGACGGAGTGAACTTGTACTTGCTTGGGTACGTAAACTATATCAGCAGCAGAGCAAGCAGCAAGCACGCGCAGCTGCGCGCATGTACTGCGCTTCACGAACAAGGCTGCAGCACCTCCACAGCATTCCTCGGTGTAATTCAACACAACGTTATTTTATGAGCTAGGGGCTACAGAGCGCGTCCAGGACCTGCGCGGTGGCTCACAAGTCATTCTATGCGGAAAAGCGAGCGTGGAGCAGGCTTCATGATACAGCACAGGTCACCCGCAGGGTCGATTCGCCAAACATGAAAAAACAAAAAACGCCGAGAGGACTGTTCTACAGAACGTACCTTTTCCTGGAACAGGCGCTGACGGCATCCTGCCCCTGAGCCCCTACCGCCTGCTTGCCTTCATTATTATCGCGAGAAGAGTGGCATTCTGTTACGGTAAGCTGGTCATAGTTTGTTAGCCGATCCGTATTGTATATTCTAGTTCGTTCCATCATGAAGATCGGTCGCCAGAGAATGGGCTTTCAGCCAGCTGCCGATCCCTGAAGGGGCTCCTCGCGCCCTCTTGACGCAAGTCGTATTCGTTTACATCGGTGAACGCACTAGTCTAATCACAGACCTAGATAGACCGCAACGTCTACTGGAGATCTTCTCCCCTTCAGGACACTTCCGAGACCTACGCAAAAGCCCTGCTATGTGTACTTCAGTGTACCTGTTCCCGGTCAGATCCTTGGCAATCTTCACAAGCAAGCGTCGGGGCGTCGTCGTTTGTCAACCCGTTCGTTGGTGATGTGTTCATTGTATTTTCTGTTGGTCTCAGCTCCGCGATCCGCGTGACTATTGCAACAATAGTAGAATGCGGCCTATGAAAGCAGGGTCGAAGGGAGCGGGGCTGGCGTTTCTTCATTTTATGAACGTGCCGAGGTTGGGCACTGCCGCTTGACCATAAAACAATGGTCCTTTTCTGTCTAGCCTTGCTCGAGACAATCTAGGTAGACGAGCGACATTGCGAACGCACATTGAAAACAACGCACTTATTGTATTCGATTGCCATTCATTGTGAATGCATGTTGTACATCCATCAACCTCATCTTCGCGCACGCTTCACGTTCAAGTAGTCGACCGAAACACCAAACTTGACCCCCTTACGAGCCGAACACCGAACGGCGATCCGTGCTTTGCCCGGCCGGGCTGTGTAGAGATGCGAGGTTCGTATTTCACGACGACTTTGATACGTGTGATCGATGAATGTACTCCATTCTAGAGAACTGCATAGAATTGGCGCAGATGTGTGTACGTGAAAGTGAAATAAATTGCCCGCCGCCAGGTATATGGGAAATATGTATTGTTCAATATAGTGTGGAGAACACCTTCATAAAGGTTGAAACTCCCCAACGTCTGTCGAGGACGAAACCCTCTTTCCCACCATGGCGTCGACAAGAGTTTTCAAGTGTCTGCTTTTGGTTGCAAAAGACACGGGTTCAAAACCCGCTGCTGACCTAATTTTCTTCCGGAGCACGGAAAAAGATAAACGGTGGGTGGGCCAAGAAACGATGCACTGTCTATCNCATGGCGTCGACAAGAGTTTTCAAGTGTCTGCTTTTGGTTGCAAAAGACACGGGTTCAAAACCCGCTGCTGACCTAATTTTCTTCCGGAGCACGGAAAAAGATAAACGGTGGGTGGGCCAAGAAACGATGCACTGTCTATCGAACTCGAAACTTCTGGCAATGCGTGGCGGAAGTGGTGTACCCGCCATTACCGCCCCCTTTTTCGAGGCTTCTTCTTGTTTGCTAGGCAAGAGAAGTCTTCTTGGGGTAACCGGAACCCGACCGGCTGGCGGCGAGTAGAACCATCTTTTTTCCAACAATCTTCTGTGCGTGTGTGCGGGTACACCACTTCCGCCACGCATTGCCAGAAGTTTGTTGGAAAAAAGGTGGTTCTACTCGCCGCCAGCCGGTCGGGTTCCGGTTACCCCAAGAAGACTTCGAGGACGAAACCCTCTTTTCCACATTAGGTGATACTGTAAAGGTCTCCGGAAACAAGTTAAACTAGCACAGACATAAGTCTATCGTGTTATCGTGAGGTGACACCATCGATCTTGCCATGGTTGACTTTCCCACGGCGGAATACATGTCGACGCGGTCCTCCATGCTCAAATCGGCCGTGTTAGCATTGTTTGGTAGAGGGTGGTTCGAGCAGCGATAGAAGGCTGACTGCTCGGAGAGAAATAAGGCACTTGCGATACAAGGGTGGTTACTCGGGGACATAGAGACAAAAGTAAGATGATCCTGACTTCTGGTTTCCTACGAGGGTGTCGGTACTGTATCATACGCATATGGCAGCCCCACTATTTTTAGGATCGCACGCGAACTACTCGAGAGCGAAAGCTCTTAACGACGAATAATCTTCCACCTAATTTATCCATGTTCACTGGTGGTGTCCTGGAAACACTCCGTCCGCTTTCGCGCTGGTCACGACCGATGAGGAAGCCACACGTATCGTCCATGTGATTATTGTTAAATCCATTACTCTCGACAATCTGACCATACGTGGCAGCAGTAGACTGCTCATCCAGCTGGAGGTCAGCTTAGCTGAAACAAACAAAATTCTTGCCAGCATCTTCCTCCTACACCCCTTCCAGCACATACTGTCAGAAACGCAAGATTGACATCACATGGTCTTGTTGAGCTTGTTATCCGCAGGGGAGAGATCGCTCGATGCTGCTCGTGGACTAGTGGATACACAGGTTGGCCATGTTACACTTATCTTGGCTCATTATCTGTCGATAGAGAGATGACTTCGGTGTGTTTTTGTACGGTCGTCTGTACCATGTGTTTCACAACACCTGAGGGGTTTGAGCCAGAGAGCTGACCCAATGTTTCTTTCTTGTGTGTCGGCCGCCCCCCTTTTCCAGAGGCGACGATGAAAAGGCTCTATCAGATAATTTGCGCCTCCCTTCTTGTTGCTCTCCGAGCGTCGGCGTATTGCACCTGCAGAACCCTGCCTTCAACTGCAGTTGGTGCCTCGAGACCTCAACAACAGTGTTCGCCTCCCATCACCAAAACTGAGCTTCGTGTCGGTCGGCCGAACCCCCTCTTTGGTCGCTCAAAGGAGGGAGAGACAGGCGGCGGAGACTCCCACCACAAGATGGGGGAAAATTCGCGCATCCGCCTCATACGAAAGGAAGACCTCCCGGCTCTCAAGTCCATCATCGACGGGACCGATCTATTTCCTTCGGCGATGCTAGACGACATGACCGACGGTTTCCTCAACAATGATGCAGAGGAGGTTTGGCTAGCTCGTCTAGGAGGAGACGGCACCCCGGTTGGTTTGGTCTACGCCAAACCGGAACTGATGACAGAAGGAACTTGGAACGCTTTGCTCCTGGCGGTTCGTCCCGACGTTCAGAGATCTGGATTCGGCCGCGAGCTCATGGCGGGTTTGGAGAGCATGCTGAAGGGGCGCGGCCACCGGCTGCTGATCGTTGAAACGTCTGGAAATGAAGACTACGCAGGGGCGCGATCCTTGTATGAAGGCGTTGGTTTTGAGGAGGAAGGTCGCATTCGAGACTTTTATCAACCCGGCGAGGATAAGGTCATCTATCGAAAGCAAATACTGTAGAGGGTAGTGTACCAACAAAGGGAGGTGATGGGCGCGGAAGAAAATAATACGTAACGCAGAGTGGGTTCATTGCAAGGTGTTCACAGGCGCCCGCTGGAGGAGTTGCATTGAAAGGCGATGTTGCACTTTGGTTAGTTCCGCCGTTCACCGGTGATATTGCAATTCATTCTAGAGAGATTTTTGTGGTGACAATTTGGAGTTGTACGTGGACACTGACAACCCAAGGTGTCACGGATCTGTACACTCACTTCACCAGATAGATATTGCTGGCAATTATTTTTCTGAAACGGTCATCAAATTTCGCAGATTATCGCAGGCAACATTCATTGAAGCGGATTGTCATGGAAATGCCTACGCATCTCCCCTCTTCGTCAATGTTCAGTACTACTGCTTATGCAGACGAGTGACGCATGTGTTATCTATGTGTCGGTTGGAACGTAACGTATGCGGAGGAACTAAAAGTTGTACGTAGCCTGTCTTTCGTTCTGTCATTCGGTTCTCGACCTCACTCTTTGGGATCTCTCTCTGATCTATCGCGCTATCTGGGTACATTAGCTGTTCTTGCCGTACCTTGGATGCTGCTGGCATACTGCCTGGACTACAACCAACCGTCTGCCTGGTGTATTTCGCTGTCTTGGCAACCGAAGCGCCGTGTTTACAACATCTCTCCATCTTCTGCACTGAAATATTGTTGTACTTCCGCTGCTACAAGCTCCACGAGCTATCAAATCGACTAGCGTCGGTGGGCGTCAGCTTCTGCTGCTACGTCCTGGGGTCCATACATCATCCCCATGATACAAAGGAGGGTAAAATGACAGGGAATCCGTCTCCGTCGAGCTGTGACGTGTGCTATCTTGCGTGTCACTTGTTTTTCTCGGTAAGAAGAGATTTTCGCCGCCTTCCGTGTAAGCGAACCATCTTGCAACGACCTATTGCATGGAGCGACCATTTTTCGGGGTGCATCTTGATGAGAATCAAGTTATTTGTAGGGCCGCGACCTCATGGCGTGCAATGTTTTCGAAGAGCATTGATTACGCAGGGGCGTTCACTTGGCAAAACAGACCGGCAGCCCACCCCAACTCGACGTTCGGTACGTCGGCGTGCGTCACCCCTTGCTTCGAGAGCGCGTGGCCAAGAAAGAGTTTGAGGTTGCAACGTGTGTGAAGGATGACCTTCAAAACCTGAGCTCTCCCATGTAGGTATGATCTTTGACATCCTCCTCTCACTTTTGGGGGGACGGACAGGCCCGTGGGTTATGTATGGTTGTAGAGGGGCAGGTATACTAGCCGCGTATATATAGGCGTACTCTAGATTATACTTCATATGACAATAAGAAACTACTTCGTACTATTACGTCTTAAAAACTGAAGATCACACTCACAAATGCTCTTCAGGATGACTCGTGACAACACCAGTTCTACACTATTTTCTATACCATCTCTTCTTGGACCACACACGACTACAAAGGCTGGAGCGACTGTTTCGGGACTAGAAGGACTTCAACATCATGTTGGCTGTTGCCATCATCTACCGCGAGCAGCCTACAGAAATGACAAGAAAGTCGCCTAACCCTCCAGGTTGTCGTCCTTCGCCCCGCCCCCCATCCCCCTTGCCTAGCCCCATATCCATGCCCAACAGGGCGCTCCTTTCCGAAGTCAACCCGCCCAGAATCGAAGAAATTTCGTCCAAGATCGCGTGCGACGCTGTTGTGTGGGTGCTTGCTGGCCGGACGAGAGACTAGTCAGAGTACAAGAACTGCAATCGTTTGCAACGATAAAAAAATGCTAACCGTATCCTTTACACCGTCATCACATGGATTCTGTGATCTGAACTCAAACGACCAGCAAATTACACGCATGCATTATGACGTGTGAACAAAAGTACCACGAAAACCTACTATTTTCACAACCCCGCCAAGAGCGAATGCCGCACGGGCTAATCCCAACCCCAAGCGCACAAAAGTCAATCTGCTATTCGGCGGCGCTTAGGTATCGCCGGGGTAGTTGCCGTTGGTTTCGCTGTCGTACCCCCCCCTTGTGTAGATTTCGGTGCCGCCTTCGCTGTGTCTTCCGCTTCGTGCGCTCGGTCGAGGCAATGCGCGACAGCTTCAAAAATCGGAGATAGGGAACGGTTCAACAACAGATGATGCGAACGAACAGCAACAACGAAAAGTTAAACGGCGGCCGGCATCTGGATGATTCCCGCAAGAAAAAGCCGAGAAACTTTCGCGTTGGATGCATGTGCCAATGGGGTGTCCGGTGTATGATAGGCTACATATGTTGTGGTTCTCGGTGGGAACGGCGAGAGAGAACGTACAACAGGTATCGTCCCTCAAAGAGCGGCAGCATCCACTCTGTGCTCACGCATTCTGCTCGGTGTTGATCCAGGTACGCCGCTATTATGATGCCGGCGCCTTCCTTGGTGGTGCTGCTGCACACCACTGAAAGCAAGAGGAACAGAACATGAATGGCAACCTCGCCGTGATATCAGCTTCATCTTATACGCGGTACTACAGCAGTACTGAGAGAGGTATGTAGCAGGGCGGGTGGATGGTCTTACCTAAACTGTAACAGCTGCATCTCTCGCTAGACAAGCAAACACAGACAAGTGCACGTACTGCACTGCCTCCGACTACATATTTGCATGTGAGACACGCACTTACCGAAAACCAGTGCAACGGTTCCGACGAAAGGAGCTGCCGCTTTCACAGCTCCGAGGCCGTACGCGGAGTACATCAGGAAACTCAAATAGGTCACGGACAACGCTACGGTCACAAGGACCAGGTATGTGGCGGCGGACGAACTCATCTCGGGTTCAGCGCCTGGAGGGAAGGAGGCGAGACGCCAGAGAACGAGGGATGTTAGCGGTGAGCAGAGAGGGTTGGCGGAAGTTCTACGAAGATGTCGGAGTTCAACCGTGGCGTTTTCGAGAGAAATTATAAAGTATACCGGAGATCTCGAAGACCGGAGACGGATCAGAGATCAGAGAGAGATCGCCACAAACACAACACTTTGGCAAATCTGTGCACGCCGGGAGCATGGAAGGAAAAATGCATCACGGCCAACATGGCAACGGGAAACGAGTTCGAAAGCGTTGCACCGCTGTCGCCCACTGCGGTGACGATCGACGGATAAGACATCGCTGGCTTTTTCCAACTAAGCTCACGCGCTTGATCGGCGCCATCATGCTCGTCGCAACGGTAGCTCTCAGGGGCGGGGTCTTGGCGTCGTCAAACCCTCTCGAGCTCAACGGGGGGTCTTGCCTCGCTATGGCGGGCAAGGGTTGCGTGGCGCTGGCGGTGGACCGACGATTCGGGCTGGAAGGGCAGCTTGTCTCAACCGAGGCGAAACGTGTGTTGAAGGTACGGCTTTGGGAGCTGCACACCTGCTGTTTGGCACACGGCTTCAAGCACACCTTGGTGATGGGATAGATGTGTCGAGTATTCCGCCAAAGTAGTCCAAGCTCTGTGTGCTCGAAGTTGATGAAAACAGTTCTTGGTGTGGCCTTTGTACAGCACTCACAGCACTCGCGAACGCTTAGACGCTGGAAAGGGAAACTTTAGCGTTCACAACCTACGAGCAGAGTATGCACGGGACTGTCAACTTTGACCTGCAGTTGATGGAGAGTGCGAACTCTCTTACACTTGCAGAGAACAAGGTGTCCTCACGTTAGGCAACGAGAATGAAAGTGGGGCACGTGTAGGACCACGTGGAAAGCAGCAGGACAGGCCTGATGATACCAGAAAGAGGTACAGAACGCGTCACCACTTTAAGAACTCATCAGTTAAGAACTTGAGCCTCAAAAAATCCAAAAACTAAGAACGTGGCCATAAGAACATGTGCTCATTCTGACGTCGTATAAGAACTAGAACCCGCCTTTGGTAGTGTACCAATGCTCACACAGATAAGAACGGAGCCCAAACCACGGGCGGCTGCAAGATAAGAACGTGAGCGAAGGTGGCGGGAGTGACCCCAACAGCAGTTAGTTTCAGGTTCGAGGGGTGGCGGGGGGGGGGCACCCCGTATAATATTCTGGCACGTGCGGAGGGAAGAGGGTGACCGAGGTACACACAAGGTACCCCCTTCGCGAGGTATTTCGTGTGCTCGTGGTGCTACGTGCGTGCCACGCTGTTTGTATGCTGATCACGCAATGGGTTGGGGCAGCCATGGAAATTCTCCACAACCGCGAGGAGTACCCGTTTCGCCTTTTCGAGAAGCGCGGCATGGCGAATACAGTTGACGGTTCGGGCGATGACCGAATTAACTTGGAGGGTTTGGACAAATCGTGCACCCTCATGGACGCCGAGGACCCCAGCGATGACGAGGGACCTCTAGAGCCTGGGGAGGGTGCGGGGTGAGGGGGTGACCAGAGGTTTGAGAGAGGCGGAGACACCAGCAGGGAGGGCATGGAGGACGGCGGATCCAACGACGAAGACGATCGGCAAGTTGGATGTTCATAAGACTCTTTGTATCCTGTCGTTGCCGTTGCCGTTGCTGGTGCTGGTGCTGGTGCTGGTGCTGGTGCTGTTGTTGTTGTTGATATTGCTGTTATTGATATTGTTACTGCTGTTGCTTCCCTGGATGTTCCATGTTGAGGAAACTAGCTTTCTGACGACGGTGATGTTGCTGTGTGATAATGCCGATCTCTGCAGACACGGCCCGCGGCCAGAACGACGAGCTGAGTCTTCTGGACGAAGACGACATCATGGACCCGGCCGATGAGATGCACGGCATGGAGATTCCCGACGGTTTTCGCCTTCAAGAGGCTACTACTACCGCTGCGTGATAATTCGTTACTGCAGCGTGGAGTACTAGTTAGGCTGAGCCTAGGTTGGTTCGGTGGGGTGATTACCCGGCAGTATCAGGAGCGTACCCGTCACCTTCACGACTACCGTGTGCATTTTGAGCTAGACTAAAGTACACGCAGCATGAAGCTGCCGTTGGAGAAGTAGAGTGGAGATGCGGATGCGGTGGTGGGATCGTGGGTTTTGCTGGAGGGGGACACCATAGAGGAGGGGGGAGATCCTACCATCGCAGAGCAGGGGAGAGGTCCGGCCACCAGCAGTGAGTCACGATGGGAGGAGTTAGCAGATATAGCGGGGAGGACACGCACGCCCAACGTGACCCTTGTGGACCACAAAGCAGTTGAATGTTGCCCATGATACTTCTTCTTGCGGCGATGCCGCGTCTGTCTTCCCTTCTACTTTACAGTGATCGCGGAAGCTGCAGTGCGTTCGATCCGGAGGTCCTGTTGAACGATAGTTTTCTGCTGGTGTCAAACACTCTACTTTCAAGTGTCACGTTGAAATCCATCCACATTGACCTTCGTCCTCTGCATGGAGTAATCGGCGTAGAAATAAGAACAAGAACGCCATTTATCGTAGGTGGATGCCTGCTCCAAATAAGAAGTCGGCAAACAAGAACATGTGCTCGGTTTGGGGCAACCAATAAGCGTCGAGCCTCACGCAAAATATGCGGTTCTTGAGTGGTGGCGCTTTCTGTATCGTGAAAGGCAGTGAGACCAGGCGAGGACAACCTGCACGGGACTGTGAGCCAACAGGATACCTGGTAAACAGCAGTGCTGTTACATGAACCTTGTTTGGGTATTGAATGGTTGTTTTGGCGACGACCCTGGTTGTGCGGCGCACCCTCTCCTGGAAACATCGCGGGGCCGAGCTTTGGCCTCTCGTGTCAGCTACCGTAAGAGGCGGAGAGATGGCACGGCACCCCTCCCGAGACCGACTTTCCAAGCTCGATTCGATTGCTCCACAACCAAGGGTGGTGCGGAAAAAGAGGCCGATGCGTGCGTCTGCGGAAAGCCGTCGATGCAGTGTTTCCAAAACCACCGATTTTGGTGTTGGCACAATTCTTAATCTTGGTCTAGGGGGGTACCATCTCGCCGCCTCTTTCGGTGCTCTTTCTCTCTCTCCCTCTCTCTTCCTCTCTCTCCCCCCCCCCCCCCCCCCCCCCCCCCCCCCCCCCCCCCCCCCCCCC